TGCAGCACCAGTTGCAGGTGCTCACATCATAAACTGGGATTCGTACATTGCAGCCATCGGCTTAGCGAGTGTAGCCTAGCTATTCCGAAACACCACAAACGGTTACTGCGACAATAAGGCAAAATAAGATCTAGTGAGGGTGTAGCGAGAAAAGGCTTTGCTGTCCTGTCTACTGGTTACGTCTAGAACAGAGAACTAGGCCTTGAAATATGTACGAACATACCAGTGGTAAAAAGTGTAACGTTATTAACGCTCTTTTAAGCAAAGCGTGCTATTAAAAACTTGTTGTGGAGTTGAGGAAAGCAGAGAGAGACAGCAGTTAAAAGGAAGTTTGAGATTTATAAAGGTGAGCTATTCCAGAGATTCCAGAGGGCTGGATATTTAGTTGGACCAAGTATATCTTAGTTCGTTGATCTGCTGCCTAACTATGAATATATGAATTAATCACAGTTATTAACATTCGTCGAACATTGATATTCTACAATGTATCGTGCGGTTGAATCGGTACCCCGGCTTATATTGGCATACAACAAATGCTATACACAGTTATTAAAGCTAGCTGGCTTAACTTCACCCCTGGCAGGAAGGACCCACATACGCTCTCTAAAAGCACTAACGAATTCAGGTCATCACAACTCGGACGCGCTTATCAAAAACGATGCCCTCGTTCTCTCATCTCACAGTCAGTAACTCCCAACGCCCTGTAACCATGGCTGTCCGTTTCCTTAAAAGACAGTGGCGGTGCGTTATTTGCTTTAGTAAGCTGCACATCGGAAGATCGATAAACATTCGTAGCAAACTCCTTTTGTTGTTTCGCCTCCTTCGTTAGCACGTTTTGTCATTGTTCGATATATATACCCAAGTCCAAGCCCTATACCCTCTGTCCAGAAAGTCCTGAGTTTGGAGTCAACGAACAATTTCAGATACTATTGGCCCTTCTTGCGGCCAATTCGACCGACCTTTAACCCCTCGAACCGGAATGGGACGGTACACCCTCCCTAAGAGCAATCCGTTTAATCGTAGGCCCAACCTGTTGGACTTATTAGATTAGCAGTAGCTCGTGGCCCGATCGACGCTATGAAAGCTCGATCATCATTTATGGAATCTGCTAAGTGCGAGCGATCGACAACTTTACTTTCCTAAAATAGACACAATATGAGGTTTGCACACTGGTTTGTCTTCAAGTTAGATTTGAAACTCGCGTCCTCTAACATTCGGCTCTGACATGTCCTGTATTGACGGCTGACCCAAGCTGCTATCTAGCAAGAGCAACAAGATTATGATCAAGCCATGCTGGCTTGTAGTTTCGTGCTACGTTGACTGATTCGGCAAGATATCTAGTTCGTGCCGCCATGATGAAGCGGGAAAAAATTAGGGTTTGCTGATTCTTTCTTCTAGCAGCTACTGCGTAGCGTACATACTGTGTGGGTTTCCGAATTCCCTCGGTAAACCCCCCGTTGCGTTAGTTTTACTTTGAAGTCTCGCCATATACCGGACAAGTAATCATACCAGACAGGATTCTTTGTAGAAGCCTCTGGGCCTAAATTGTCATCTGATCGACGGACCAATTTCACTCTTTTCGCGGACATTCGTACTCCCCGACCCCTTTTCTGGATTTGTTCCGTAAATAGTCGGGGGAGGGAAGTTTCCAGAGACGCCCAGATTCTCGACGAGGACACTCGAAAGTCTCTTGTCATTCCATTGCTACGATGGAAATGAAAAGGACCGATTTAGGTTTGTCGTTTGAGGATGGCAACGAGTACCTTACAACCACTTTTTTTGAGCTTTATATAGCCGCCGCCGCTCACGTATATTTGTTAACAAAATCGTATTACAATTTAGTTCATTACAGTATGTATATTCGATGAGAATACCCGACTTCTTTTTCACCTTCTACTTGACCTCTCGTTTTTGTCAATTGTGATAGATAGAAAGGTAAGCGCAAAATAATCAGTGGTAAAGCTTGCATGAATGGAATCAAGAAAAATCTCTGCACATTGAACCCAATACCGTGAACCCTTTTAGAAACTTTATGGGCCCCTGGTTTAGCTGGTGAACAGGCCAAAAGTATAAAACAGGTTTTATTCATAGTTATTTAAACATCTTTGTGTCATTTGACTTAAGGGTATTCATTCATGGTCAACCTTTGTCCGCACCGATAAATTGACCGACGTTCAAACATCGATACGTTTCCTCATTGAAAACTTTGGAGAACGCTTGATGACACAAGTAACGACTGGTGCAGATATAGAACCTTGTGACTATTGAAGAAAGACAAACAATAAGGCGAATTTTAGCAAAACTTTATATCATATGCCTGCTAATGCTCACGCCAGCTAATCCACGGTTAAGGAACAAGTTCAAACGGAACGGATGAAAAAAAATCAACATAGTGAGCTGTCGAAAAGGTATTGATCGTTTCAAGCCAAAATTTCAAAATAACATTACTAATCTATCCCGTCACTGTAAAATCTCTGTAGCCTGTGGGCGAAAAAAGCAGCCGTTCATTGAAACTCAATTTACATTAAAGAAGTTCTGTGCAAAGCGAAACAGATGATAGTCTGATGGGTCAAGGTTTTAGCTATACGGCGGATTCATAGAAATTTCCCATCCAGGTTTTCTCAATTTTTGGAAAGTAGCTAAAGTATGCAGTAAAGATGTATGTGGTCTGGCATAATAATGGTAAAAGACGACGCCTATAGTAGTTCCAGTCGATTCGTTTCAATGACTTGCTGTAGCTTTATTTCCTGCTGACAATAGAGGTCCGAGTCGATCGTTGTTACCAGCCAGCAGTCATTCATAATGCACGATACCAATAAACGCAGGTCAATTTGGGCTTCTGCACAAATTTTGTATTATTATTATTATTATTATTATTATTGCATATAATCTATTTGTTCTATAAGCCGTGAAGAACCGCTTTAGAAATAGTTCAATGTCGCTGCGTTTCTCTAGAGTGCCGGCAGTTCTAACAAAGTTTATGGATTTAAACTGGACCCTCATTATAAGTACGATTATACAGAAATTTTACTCATCTTTAAGTATGAATGTAATAACGTTAGCATATCTAGTACTCAAGCTTACCAATGTCGATACCTGAAGTGTGCAAATTCAAAGTTATAAAAACCGTTCCGACATAATTCATCGATCCTGAATATATGCATAAAATATCGTACATAAACATACTGTGTCCTAGAAACCGTGCAACGACCTAAATGACTCTGCTGATCTAAGGCTCGTATCGGTTAATAATAAAGTATCTACGTAGTTATAGGGCATGGCATACGTTGTCGTGGGGTAAATGGGTTAGCTAGGTGCCCCTGTGTGCTTTGATAGCGTGCAGAAATAAGCGCTTGTAAAGCTTCAAGTACGTAAATATCAAGACCAAGAGACTGACCTAACTAGCCATGGCTCACATCAAAAATTCTAACGAAAAACTAAAATGAAAAGTTAAATAGACGACTGCTATTATAGTGAAAATGTTGTATCCCAACAATGCAGATCGTTGTGATCCATATCTACTTGCTTAGACTACAATGTATTTGAGACGAAAACAAGTTATGCGCGACGCATACAACTGATGCCAGCTACTGAATGAAATGAAGTTCCATGTTATGCCTCATTTTCCGCTATAGTTAATTAATAGGATCAGACTGAACATGACGAGTGAGCACTTTTCAGCGCCCCCGAATATACGCAGTATACCAAATATAAATCACTGATTTATTTGATTCGCTTGTTGTAATTCAGTAAAGCAGTTAGTATAACGTTGAAAATTGAATGAGCCGACCAGAAACAGTGGTAACAAAAAGCATCCGATAGGCCAAATATAGTAGAGATAATTAGATACAAGTGCATATGTTTATAAGATAAGAAGGAAAAAAATGGAAGCTGCATTAGATGTCGAAAATCTTTGGGGCGACTAGAGGAGGGTCTAGGAAACGTCGGATGGGTCATAAAGGGGGGTGACAGATCCTGCTTGCGCATAACGAGCTTAGAGAGAAACTGAGTGCATTGCCGATTGACACGCATTGAAAGAGGGTGCTGACTCTCTCACAATCAGTTTAAAATGGGTTTGTTAAAAATAAGGCAAAGACTAGAGGCATGCATAGAAAGCTGCGAAAGTCGGGGGTACCCGAGACAAAAGGCCTCTCTGACAGGGTAAACCCCATCTAAAAGTGTCTGCTTAACTGTAGCCGTGACAGAGCTGAAGAACCCGAAGCGCAGACGGTGCCGAGTAAAGGTGACACTCTATAGATGTATACCTACCTACCTACCTAATGAGGGAGGTGGACATTGAAAGTGCAAAAAGGGCTCGACATTGGGGTACGTTTGCTTACTGTATTGCTGAATTGAAGTAGGATATGGGCCTTGGCAGAAGGTAGTGGACCGAATGAAGACGTCTACACCTCTGCCGACAGGAGTCGACCCGATCGTGGTGCGCGTAAAATTGCATTACGACTATGCAGTTTTTACGGACGATAGGGGCAGTCAAGCAGAGTGGCGAAACGTGATGTTTAGACGGGGACAAGATGAGTGAAAAAATGTGATAGTACAAACATTTTATAGAAGATCATGCGCGATATCGACGGATGGAAAAGCTGAACCTACCTGAAGCTAGAGCGGACGAAATTCTTGGGACTAACGTAATTCTTTAGTCGCACAACCTTCGTAGAGCTCATCTGGGTGCCTATTAATGAGTCCTATGTGCAGCTCAATCAATGACAGTTTAGTTTAGCAACTACGTAAGTGTCCTAAAAAAAAACACCCTGAGACTTTTCATGTTTAGAGGATTGAATAAATTTATTAAATGGTGTATATTATTCTGAATCTATTCACTTCCGTTTACAACAGCGAACAGTCTCTTATACGCATGTTTTGTCGCCTATGTTGTATTATTACTTATAATGTCAAATATAAATTTTTCTACTAAATCAAAAATGCGTATAGAAAGCGAAGAAATAGATGTCCATTGAAACAGATTTTTTTTTGCTTTACAGAGATACTGTCACAATGGTAACCAGGTAGCTTCGACTCCGGTAAGTGTGTAACTCTATACAATTGAATATTTATTATGTAGTCATATTATCTAGCCCCTAACGATTAGTTTTTCTTCTACTTAAAAATTACTCAGCAGAATTTTGGTTGTAAATTTAGTAGTTTGCGCGTAATATGTGCTATCTTACCTACCGTGTCCATAATCAGAATCATATAATAATATTGCTGGCTCGAGGAGAATTATGTATCGCTTCCGTTCCTACTCATATTAGCTTTAGAGGGAACTAAGTCTCTGGCATCATCGTTGTACGTTTTCGTCGAGCGGGCAAGCTCGAATCAAAATGTAGCAAGTGAAGTTTGGAGAGTCAGCGGCATTGATAATGGAGTGCTCCAAGGGGCGCCTCCCAATTAGTGCTATCCCATAGCCCTTGATTTCTCCATGCCTCTCCAGCGGTTGCTATAACGTTATTGCTACTTAGGTAGATATTGCTACTGCGGCATTTAGCGTGTGCGTCCCCACTTAAATGAGTAGCGCACGCTTCCCCCAGTTTGAGCCCAATAGGATTTGGATCTTCTTTTCCCATACTTGCGCTTCTCTCTACACCTTTACATGTACGTATGTCAGTGCTACCAAAAACTGTACTCTACTTCAACATCTCTGTCTTTATTGTGTATCACCCACACGTCCATAGGAACTCCTTTTCCTTCCACTTCCTTCGACTGATTCGCTTTCTCCCTATTACTTATTTCGTTCCCTGAGTACTTTTTATAACTGAGCACTGACTCAGGCTTTCTCTCGCTGTTTCCTCATATATCTAGCTTGTTATTCACCGCTGTGCACGCATTCTTGTTCTCCTCGCCTGTTACGTCTTCCGTCGTCAGCGTTCGGTGCTCTGTCGTTCCCCCCCGGTTTTTCCTACTGCTAACTCTGCTCTGTGTTTTCCCAGTTGAGTCTTACGCTTTTTCTTTTCGCCAGTACCCTACCCATAGGAATTCCACTCTGAAATATGAAGAGATTGCGCGTTTCGTTTTTATTTAGGAGCTCAGCTTTTCGCTCTCACTAATTCTGAGTTCATGCTTAAAGACCTGCTGCAACTCTGCTGGCAAAAAAACAATAGACTGCACTTATTATAAAAAAAAAAGTGCTATGTGCGATGCGGTACCTTTACTCAGAAAGACTGCTCACCTTCAAAGCGTATTTCAAAGTTGTGCCGCCTTACAGTTGGGTTTGAGGGTTGCCGGTTATCCCATAGACCAGTTGAAAGGTCGTAGGACCAAAATCCGGAGATGTTTCTCCGAACCCATAATCATTAAATATATGTTTTTGATTAAAACTACTTTAGACTAGCAAAAGTAAAATATCATTATTTGCCGGATATATATATATATATATGTCTGTGTTTCTTCCTTAGACCCATGAGATCTTCTCCCAGAAGACCTTAATCTTAAAATTATTGACTAGGATGAAAAATCAGTTACATTAAGACAGTAGCAAACAATATGGGTGCATACTGCAATCAATTATTACTAAAGGTCAGTAATGTGCATTGATTTCCAAGTTCACTCGATAGCTTTAAGAAATCACCGTTCTGTTACCTTCTTATGTCCACTTCAAAAGGCCCTTTAACATGTTTCATGTCTTTAATACGTTAATATCCCGCCCTGTTGCCCCTGGGAATGATAAAATCAGCCACTCAGTAAGGCCTAGAGATCTCTGCAAACCTGAGAAACCTTCGCCGTTGCGCAGGAAACCCGAACTGGGGTAGCGTACAAGTATTATGTATATAAAACATCCACGGGGACACCGTATATGGTCTCGAGTCTTTTCCGCTTCGAGCTACAAAAGACATTCTTGTTTCCCACCCCGCTGATAAACAAATACGCTCACACATAATGTATATGCTATAAATGTACGTCTATAAACACACACATAAAAACTTTCTTGTGTGTGTGCACGTCTGCTTTTAGGTCGAGTATATGTGGAATCAGCCCCCATCACTAAAAGCGTCCGTGAAGCATCTTCTGTGCAATCGGTCAACCCAATTGTTCTGTGGCAGGGGTCTCTTCGGTTAAAGCTAGACTGCAATACAGTCGTCCAGCTCCATATGCATGCTCCCGTTGCACGGCGCTCAAGGGGGTTGCGTACAAGGGTTATATGGAGTGTTTCGGCTAGCGCAAAGGGCATTCGTTCGGTCGGTCGTCGGGCAAGCATTTGTTAGTGTCCATTGCTACTATTCCCTCCTTCCCACTCTATTGTATAGTGGAGGTCATACCTCTGCGTGGGCGCGCGCGGCATGGATCAGGCTGAAATAAACGCATCTCTGCTTCTTCGAAACGTTCACCCGAATTGTATGGGACGAACACAGTCACTGTTTGGCTGGTGTACTGCCCATGAGTAGCTACTTGGGCCTTCTGAACTAGGCGAGCAGGATACTGCATGGGTTTATCTTGGGGCCTTGGGGACTTTAGGGACAAGCACATATAGGTTCTGGCATTCTCGACAGAAAATGCGCTGTATTCCACCATATATATATATATATATATATATACATACTTAGATTACTATACATATACAAACATAGGCAAAGGGGTACGATGAGATCGGATGGCGTCGGTACTATCGCCTACGGGTTGAGTTGCTAAGGTGTGTATACATACTAGAACTGGAAAAACCTATATGTGACCTTATATACATACATACATAAACATATAAACGTGTTGATATGTACCTACACTCGCGGTATTACGAAGTGAGTCTAACGTGAGGCCAAAACACTCAAGGGCTGAGTGCTCCTCTATTCAACAGCGAGTCCTGCCTCTAGCCACGGGCTCTAAGTCGCATCCAGTGAAGACACGTTACCTGTGGCTTGAAGTATTCAATATAATCCTTGGCCATCGCGGAAGGCTTTTAGGCTTCGCAGCTCTATATGACTACGCAAAGACGAGCTTTTGCGCATGCCGCCAGAACAGAAATTATTCGGTCTTAACGGAAACTAAGAGTAAAGGCATCGGTTGCCGATATACAGATATCCGTGTCGAGCGTTCAACCTATTCTTTGTGACACTCTCAAATATGCAGCTGTTATCGACACTGTACGAGTAAACATATATAGAGCCTAAGGGATAGAATTGCTGCAAAGGTCTAAGCGACAGCGAAAAGAACGTGAAACGATTGTCATCATCTAAAGAGGCTTGCCGCTACTATAGATGATGAAAATCGCCATACTTCATAGAGAGTCTGTGCGCCAAGTTCGTGTTTCTACGCTGTATCCATGACGCTCATGCTATCAACCCATTTTGCGGTCTACTGGCGTCACGCTGATAGAGAACTGACAACCGGCTCTAGACAAAACCTGATAAAGGACGGAGTCCGAATGTAGTTCACAGCGGCTGCTGCTTCGTGATTCGGGCCCTGCCACCGAAGTCAAGCCAGGCAGGAACTCAGTCACTGTAGGAAAGAGAAAAGCGGGCGCCACATATTTAAGCAGCGTCTCTGCTGCTACGTGGCCTCGGTTTCGCGAATCCATGGAGACTGCATTCTGCTCACGTACTATTCAGACATCCTTATATACATGCAGAAGCTCTCAGATAGAAGCACGGGAACAGTTTCCTCGTTTACCCTTCCTTAGACCCAAATCGTACCCACCACATCCTGTTTATGCAACCTGCCTTAGTTTTGCACTGGTATCGCTTTGCAATTCAGGAGAACGAAAAAAGTTGAAGACTCAACGGCCTTCCCTTCAAAAAAAGGGAGGAATCCCGCTTCCGTACTTACTTTTCTCACATGGCATCGTGTGGCAGTAGGAGATAGGGATAAATATGCACAGGATACTGCCAGGAACTCCACCTGCTTGGCCAGATAGAGGGCTTCATTAACCCTGGTCAGATAGAATGTCCCACTGCCATCTGCCCTGCCAAGATAGAAGACTCTCAGCCGTATCATGGTCGGATAGAGAATAAAGACCCCCCATATTACCTCTGTAACTTAGGCACGGCCAAGCGGATTGACCATAGCTAAACTGTTCTACCTAACTGTGCGTAAAACTCTACCTGGTGCAGGTTGTTTGCAATTTTATGCGAGCACGAACTAATGCAGTTTGTAGTCCAGTCATTGCCTTTGGCACATTTCACGTTCGATGAGAAGGAAGTTCTACTTAAAATAGATTAGATTTTTATACCTTTTCTTGGAAACGCGTTTGTTAAACCCACTACTTACTAAGAGTCGTACATTTTACACAATATAACAACAAGGGAGTTGTATTCGACCACAATAAAGGTCACTGGTCCTCTTTTGGAGGGTTTGAATCCAACTTGTATTCTTCAGTAGTTGCTTGCCTCTTATGTGTCACTAGTGCCTAGTAGTGCTCGTTACGTTCCTTTGTCGACCTTCTGTTTCGTCTCCTTGACACACTCCCAATGAAAGCAGGCCATGGTCTACTTGACTTCAACCAATTTAATCGAGGTTAGGTCGGCTGTTACGCGTATACTACAGATCGGTATCGATTTAGCTTGGTTTGACCCTTTTATTGGAAATGGAATATCCAGTGTTCAATGTAATGGAATATTGGGCCGGCTTAGACGACTAATTTGCACTTTGATTGGTCCGCTTATCGACCTCTGACAAAATTAAATAGAAAGGCTTGTTTGCGTTAGATTCTTTGCGGTTTTTATCTGACATGAAACATGTCTACTTAACTGCTTTAAACTGAGCGTTACGCTGGCCTTAGATAAACACTTAGTTGCAAATCTATTCTAGACAAATCTGCTTTGTACAAATAATATTAAAGTAATCTGTATAATATATCCACAAGATGCTAATGAGCACCGAATCATGGTTCACACCATTTCAGGAAACTACCTATATCATACAATTCCCGCTGATGAACCTCTTTGCTACTCTTGCGGCCTGTTTTGGACCAAAAATAAAACTTTGTTCTTGCTGATCCGGCAAGATGCTTTTGGCAAAGCTCACTAAGGAGCATCACTATCACAGTCACTGGGACACCTCCACGGTCATTAAGTTTGCCCCGGTCGCATACTTC